AGCACAAAGAAACAGGATAGCTGGAGCTGCCACGGCCACTGACCACTCTGCATGATGGGCAAAGATTTGGGTCTGACATCGGGAGGAGTGTTGCCAACCGGAGGGTCTGGAAAGGCAGGTCCTGGGCTGCCCGGGGCATCCTCTCACCAGGTCTCTAAGGACCTCTCACAAGCACACACAACAAGTCTCACCGTGATTCTGAGTACTTCTAAATCCAGACCGAATTCACACACGGTAGCTCACACCTGCAATCCCAGCATTTTGGGAGGCCTAGGCAGGCACATTACTTGAGGTCAGGAGTTCGAGACCAGTCTGGTCAACATGGTGAAACCTCGTCTCTACTAAAAATACAAAAATTAGCTGGGCGTGGTGGCGCATGCCTATAATCCCAGCTACTCAAGAGGCTGAGGCAGGAGAATTGCTTGAACCCAAGAGGCAGAGGTTGCAGTGAGCCAAGATCGCACCACTGCACTCCAGCCTGGGTGACAGAGCGAGACTCCATCTCAAAAAAAGAAAAGAAAAGAAAGAAAAAATAGGAATATTACCTTAGCACAGGGAGACTTCCATCTCCTTCATTTATTCTAGAAGCTATGAACACAAAACCACGAAGAAAGCAAAACCTACTAACAGTGGCTGCTCCTGTTCCGTGTGACAAAATATCGATGGCTTTAGCAAGCATTTTCTTCCCGCCCCCGCCTTGATTTCTTTCCTGAAAATGAAAACTTTCAAGGCCTGCTTTGAAAACAAAATCACCCAGATTGTGTGCCTGTGATGCTGGTGGCTTCCTCCCTTTCCAATTTGGTTCTGTTCCTCACATGAGCTAAAACACGATGAGAACCACTGACTGGATGGCTTAAACCTGAACCACTTCAAAGATGGTGCTGCTTGCAGGCACCAGGCAGAGCTGAGGGTCAGTCTGGCTTTGTGGGTGTCCAGTAGACAGGCCTCTTTCTGCAGCCTCTGTCAGGCCAGGAACTGGCCCAGCCCGTGGCTACCCTCATACTTCAGACCGATGTTGTGTTGCTTGTGCTGGGTTTGGGAGAGGTGGGCTGAGGCCCCTGATGCCCAGAGAACACAGACAGCTACCTGGGGTCCAGGCAGATGCGGGGCAGAGGTGGCCTCCCCTGTACAGTGCCTCTTATGTACTCCTCCAGGACCCCTTCTGAGTCAGCAGCTGGCCCTGCACCTGCACACCCACGCAGTGGCCCTCCTCGCCCACCCCACACCCCTCCTCGCCCACCCCACACCCCTCCTCTCTTTGCATTGGCGAAGGTAACGACTTCCCAACCAGGCTTCCAGCTAAATAAACATGAAGCGCATTGAGCCAGCAGTTCAGGCTGGGTACAAACTGCTGGTCCAATTCACTCTCATTTTTCATTCTGAATGAAATTAAGCTCCCGAGAGCAGAAAAGAACCCTTTTCTAAAAAGGAAATGCATCAGCGAATCCCTTAGGGGAAAAACATTTTGACATGGAAGTTTTCCTGTACTTTATTCAGTCTACAGGGCGAGGTTCCCTCTTCTCTTTGCACCCCTTCCGTTCCCCCCGCTTTCGTGGCCGTGTTCTCAATCAACCTTCTCGTGGATTCGTTTGTGGGAAAGTCTCCTTCCACCACCTCCCCACCCATAGCTCCCCATGCCCGTCCTGTGGTGCTGCCAAGCCCCCTCCAGAACTACCTGGATTCGTAATAAGCTTCAGGGCCTTTGGTCAGCACTATTTCAAAAAGCAAATAAAACTGCAATCCCAGCCGACAACCTCTGAATTCATGTCACTCTCCTGCCGTCCCCTGCCCCCTCAGTGTTTTCTTTCCAGATAAATTTGTCTCAGCAAAGTCCACGGACCCGATCAACGATGATGAAATTAACGGGCTGCACCTGTTCGTACGTCTGTTTGCAGCCTAATGGCTTGTTGGTTTCCCTGATGACGGCTCCCTTCATTGGGACTCCTGAGCACCCAGTGCCAGGATGGGTGAGCTTGACCAAGTGCAAGATTATGCATATATTTACTTTTAAAAAAACCCTGAGGCTACTTATTGATTTTAACACCTTTTGATGTGTGAAAAGCCCTTGAGGAAGGCAGTTAAACGCATACCCCATCGGGTGTGAATTCCAGCCAGCTCCTCCAATTCATTTGATCACTGAGCAGAACGGGCTAGTGGTGCAGAGACATGAGTGCTGATAAAATATCTAAAGGGCAGGAGAGTCAACCCAAGCTAACGCCACAAGCCTGCAGCTCCTCGGCCTGAGGCACCTGGATGGTCTTCTCTAAGCTAACCCCATACCTCCAAACTAACCCACAAACCCGCGGCTTTTTCCAGGCCTAAGGCGTCTGGATAGTCCTCTCTAAGCTAACCACATACATCCAAGCTAACCCACAAGCCTGCGGCTCCTCCCAGCCCAAGGCACCTGGATAATGCCATCATTATCCGAATCCTTCCCTCAACTCCACAAGGCTATTCCCATTTTACAAATAAAGCAGCTCAGGTTGGAAGACACGCAAAGCTCCTAAGGCCACGCAGCTGGTCCATGCTGGGGCTGGAACCCAGCTATGTCTGGCTCAGAAGCACTTGTGAAATCTGTCACTGCCACCTGCCAGTGGGGGTGATAGATGTGGTCTGGAGGTGACAGGGGATCATCTTTCAGCAGCCCCTGTCCTCACCCACGTGCTCGCTTCACTGCCTCTTCTCCTATACTCCTGATTGATGGGAGGTTCTGCCCGGAATGTTCTAAGTAATACGTGATGGGCGGCAGAGCTGTGCCCCACATGTCTGTAGGAGACCCCCCGTCCCGCAATGGGACAGCCTGCCTGGAAGCTGTTTCCTGGTCTCAGGATGATGTGCTGCACAGGCCCCTGGCAAAGCAGACACAAGTCCGGATGCTTCGGTTCATTCTGCTCGGCTTTGATACGAGGAAGCGCACATGCACCATGCCAACCCCGCCTGCCGTGCGCCCCAAAGCCCGTCTACACGACTGTGACCAAAACATAACGACTTTCATCTAAATTCACTCTCTAAAAGGAACACCCTCCTGAACCAGCATGTTCCCCTCAAAGGTGTTATGGAACCTGAACTCACTCTGAAGTCATTCCCAGTTGCTCAAGGCAGGGGTGAGGCCCCCCCATGGAACAGCTTGAGCTCCTCCAGTGTGGGAGGCATCACAGGAAGGCATCGCGGCCTTGACCGGTGGGCCTTGCACTCCAGCGTGTGTGTGTCCTGTGCCCAGACCCTCTGTGTGTCTTCTCCAGAGTCCACTCGCACAGCCCCACAGGACTCACATGGTTTTTCTTGTCTTACTGACGGGTTCCTTAGAACACCTCCCATGTGTGGGAGGTGTATGTGTGGTGTGTGTGTGTGCATGTGTGGTGTGTAAAAGTGTGTTTGCATGTGTGTGTGGTGTGTATAAGTGTGCATTCATGTGTGTGTGTGGTGTGTGGTGTGTGTGCATGTGCATGGTGTGTGTGTGCATGCGTGCGTGTGTGAGTGTGTGTGGTGAGTGTGTGTTCATGTGTGTGTGGTGTGTGAGAGTGTGTGTGGTGTGTGAGTGTGTGTGGTGTGTGAGAGTGTGTGTGCATGTGCATGTATGTGTGTGGTGAGTATGTGTGCATGTGTGTGAGCGTGTGTGGTGTGTGAGTGTGTGTGCATGTGCATATGTGTGAGTGTGTGTGGTGTGTGTGAGTGTGTACACATACACATGGGTATGCTATGCCTTCTGTCTACAACTCTAGCTACTGCTTTGCTCTTCCCGTATGGGTGTGGTGACATTCTTAATGGTGACATGATTTTTTTCTTCTGGACTACCCACCCATTCTAGAATTGTTCTGAGAAGCACACACACACTCACCAGGCACACACAGACCAGGCACACACACACACACACACACACGGTGCCTCTTGGACTATGCCTGACCTCTCTAGTGCCTGGAGTTAAGACCTTCCAGTTGTTCCTCCCTAGACAACAGGGTCCTTTTTTTCCAGCCTCTCAGTGACAAACGCGAACCTGCATCCCCTTTCCTGAAAACCTCCCCCTGGGGTGGGCAGTGGAGCCCAGAGCTCCCAAGGAGTGAGGTTTACATCTGCAACCACAAGCCTGCAGGGCCGAGCTGTCTGCCGTGGTGGTGCCTCGCTGGCTGTGGGGAGCTGAGGCCTGTCTGCAGTGAGTTTGCATTTACTGAGCAAATGCTAGCAGCGCTAGCTGGACAGGACAGGGTGGCCGGAAGCAACTGGCCGGCACGAACGCACATAGGTTATTTGGACTTGGGTCATGCCTTCACTCTATTTGGTCACCCAGCATCTGCCACATGCCCACAGCCCGCCGTGACGGTGCTGTACTGTGCCGGGCCATGCCATACCACGCTGTACCGTGACAGTGCCATACCGTGCCAGGCCATGCCATGCTGTGCTGTGACGGTGCCGTACCGTGCTGGGCCATGCCATGCTGTACCGTGAGGGCAGTGAGGGTTGCTCCTTCCACCCACAGGAATCTCAGCATCAAGGTCTAGAAAAATGACAACAGTGAACTGGGCCATTAGAGGTCCCAGAATGCAAGCGCTGGAGGAGGGAATGTCCTGAGTGCTATGGGACCCTGTCAGTAAATATTGAGCACCTACTGTGTGCCAGGACCCATGTCCCAAAAATTTCTAACCTAGAGAAGCAGAGACACATCCTGCTAATCCAATTCTGTATCTTCTTCTTCTTTTTTTTTTTTTTTTTTTTTTTTAGACGGAGTCTCGCTCTGCCACCCAGGCTGGAGTGCAGTGGCCGGATCTCAGCTCACTGCAAGCTCCGCCTCCCGGGTTCACGCCATTCTCCTGCCTCAGCCTCCCAAGTAGCTGGGACTACAGGCGCCCGCCACCTCGCCCGGCTAGTTTTTTGTATTTTTTAGTAGAGACGGGGTTTCACCGTGTCAGCCAGGATGGTCTCAATCTCCTGACCTCGTGATCCGCCCGTCTTGGCCTCCCAAAGTGCTGGGATTACAGGCTTGAGCCACCGCGCCCGGCCTGTATCTTCTTCTTCTGGCTGTTCCTAAGATGCCATGAACACCGCCCATGCCCACCTCACCCTGTTGCCACCCCTCCCCTGCCCTCTTTTCTTCTCCTCCTCCTATCACAGTGTGGTTCTAAGCCAGAATTTTAGCCCCAGCTCTGCCACTAATAATTGGAGGACTGAAGCTCTCTGAGCCTCAATTTCCTCCTCTGTAAAATGGGCGCATAACTGACATGTGCTCCGAAAGTTGTGAGAGGAGCATGTGGAGATATAGGTGGGATGACAGAGGCAGAGGCAGCTGGCCCCATGGCAGTGCTCCACCAGAACTGGCTGCTGGCATCACTCCCCTGCCTCTCCTCCCACGGCTTGCATTTCCTCATCTGTCACTGGAGGGGCTGGGCCAGGAGACCGCTAAGTCCCTTCTCGTTCTGGTATCATGTGCCCTGGCTATTCCACTAAGCTGACCATGGGCCGCTGCCCTATGCATGTGGATGCATCTTCGTCCTGCACAGGTTCAGGGCTTAAGTCAGGGGTGCCTTTCGTGTGAGGCTGCACCTGGACACCAGGCAGAGACACAAGCTGTGCGGGCTGCTGCTGGCAGGGCAGATCTCCATGGCAAGACTGGGCACAGGCCCGGCCAGCACCACAGGCCACACCCACAGCACACAGGCTGGGCGAGGGTCTGCATGCTGCCTGGTTCCCCACCCCACTGGACGGGCCACTTCCCAGTGGGAGGCAGCTGGGCAGGGGGCGCCCACCAAGAGGCAAGGCCAGCAAGGTTCTGGATTCAACCCCCTCCACTCTGGGAACAGGTGCCATGTGGCAGGCGTCTGAGCCACCCCATCAGGCAGGGTGATGCCAGGAGCTGGCATCAGGGGTCCCTTTTCTGGGTACCAGGAGCCAGGGTCCTCAGCTATTCTGAGGAGGGGGGCAGAGGCCCTCTTTCCCGTGATGCTGTTACTGCAGGCAGCCTGGAGCCACAGGCCAGGGAGCTCCATCAGGCCTGGGGAGCAGGGGTGTGGAGTTCTGGTGCTGCCACTCCCAGGACTGGACCCCCGAAACCCCCCATGGCTGCCACGAGCCAGCATCCCAGCCTTCCTGGAACCATCTCAATTCCAGATGTGGCCCCTCGTTGTCACCACACACCCCTGAAATGTTGGCATTTTGTGGACATTCGCAGGGTGAGCCACACTTTCCAGGCTTTTTCCTCATATCACACAGAAGTCTCCAGTCAGGCTGAGATAACTGCCCCTGCCCTCCTGCCTGTAAAGCTCTTGGGATTTTGCTTGGGTGGCAACTCTGGATTCCCTCCCAGAGCTCTGCAGAGGCAGCCTCCCATTGCCTGTGAGTCCCCTGCCCAACGTGCAGGACTGTGGGGGGCTAAGGGGATGTGCCCGGGCTCTGTGTTTGCACATGCTGTCTCTGAACCCTCTGGCTTGCCCCATCCTCTGCTTCCCCTGACAAGCCACTCGCTTCCCACCGTGAGCCCCCACGCTCCAGCCAACCCTCCTTCCAAGCCTCCACCCGCAACAGTGATCTGACCCTTGGCCCGGTGGAGTTTTCAAGGCCCAGCACACCACATGCTACCCCTGCCTGTCCAGGCGGTGAACCTGGGGAGGTTTGGGCAGAGGCCCGTAGTGGCCAGGCCATCCTTGGCAAACATACCGTGTCGGCTGTAATAGCAGAGATTGGGCTGCGGGTTAATTTATGGTGTTTCAGGGAGCTGAGTATGGGAATATCTTCTGATCTTTAAATTAGTCATGAAGTTGGATCCCACCAGCACAATTAGAACCTCAGCTAATGATTATTTATGGAGTTTGGAATGCGTATTAACCCGATTGTATTAAATATTAAACTCAATTGTAATACTTATATCTGTATTTACAGTATAAGGTACCCGTCGAGCAGCATTACCCCCCCATTGGAATCGTTGGAGGCCTCAGAGCTTTGAAAGATCTGGGCAGAGCCAGGCAGGTGGGACAGAACCAGGCTGTGGCGCGTGTACACAGCCTGAACCGGGTGGCAGCCTCGGGGGCATGGTGGGCTGCGCCAGGAAGGGGCAGAGAAGTGGGCTGGGCTTCCTCTGGTCCCTGGCGGAACACAAGGCTCAGTGTGCCCAGTGTCACCCACCAACCCTCCAGGCAAAAGTGGAGCTGGCACCACCACCCTGGAGTTTGGAGAAGGCCAAGGCTGATGTCATCATGGGTTCGCTAGGAGCCACAGCAGATGGAGTGGCTGAGTGTGCAGGCCCTAGAGCCACAGGGAGCTGGCTGTAAACCCTGCTCCACCCCTTACCAGTCCTGACTCCTTAGGCAAGTCATCTCTCCCTGCCTCAGATTCCCTTCCGTACAAGAGGGGCAGTGGTCACTCCTCCCTCAGAGAGCTGTTGTGTGTTGGGTGAATCAATGCACGTGGAATGCTGAGAACATGCCTGGCTGGTGCAGCAGCTGAAGAAACACTCCATTTTTTTTTTTTTTTAAGGTGGAGTCTCGCTCTGTCACCCAGGCTGGAGTGCAGAGGCACAATCTGGGCTCACTGCAACCTCTCACTACTGGGTTCAAGCGATTCTCCCGCCTCAGCCTCCCGAGCAGCTGGGATTACAGGCGCCCACCACCACAGCTGGCTAGTTTTGTATTTTTAGTGAAGACGGGGTTTCACCATGCTGCCCAGGCTGGTCTCGAACTCCTAACCTGAGGTGATCCACCTGCCTCGGGCTCCCAAAGTGCTGGGATTACAGGCGTGAGCCACTGCACCCAGCCAAAAAACATTATTTTTTTTAAAAAGCAGCTTTATTAAGATAACAATTCATATGCCATTCACTCCTTTAGGGTGTACAATTCAGAGGTTTTTAGTGTATTCACAGAGTTGGGCAACCATCATAATCCAGTCCAGAATGTCTCTTCACCTAGAAGAACTTTGACCCGCCAGAGTCACTCGTTTCCGCCTCCGCCAGCCCCTGGGGGACAGTCCTCTGCTTTCCTTCCCTGGATGGCTCTGCTCCAGACATGTCACATGAATAGAATCATACCACGCGAGGCCTTTGTGTGGCTTCTGTCTCTGAGTGTGCCGTCTTCAGGGTTCATCCGCGGTGCGGCATGTGTCAGAAACGCCTTCCTTGTTATGGCCGAACGGGATTCCATTGTGTGGACAGACTGCAGAGTGTGTTGATGGTTTCAACACTTGACGGCATTCAGGTCCTTTCCCGTTTTTGGCTGTGGTGAATGACGCTGCAGTGAATACGCGTGTGCAGCTAGTTGTTTGAACATACGTTTTCGTTTCTCTTGGGTGTATACCAGGGATGGAACACCTGGGTCCTCCGGTGGCTGTGGGTTTAAAGGAAGCATCGCCTCTGACTGTTCCAGCTCCAAGCCCAGCCCGAGGGCCTCCTGCTTCCTAGCCATCCACAGCCCACCACATGCCGCTTGACTACACAGTGTTAGTATGGGTGAGGTGGGGTGGGGGAGCTGCCGTAACCAGATCTGAAGTCCTTTGAGGGCGGCTGATGCATCTGGCAGACAGCCAGGCACAGGCATGTGCTGGCAAACCCTGCCTGATACCCCCCGCGCTTCTGTGTCCATGGGGAGGGGCCCTCGCCCATCCCTTTGCTTCCCTTCAGGGACTTCAGTGAGCGTGTGGTCTGCACCATCCAGGTACTGGGGACGTGGGTGGCTGTGAGCTCATGAAGCCTACCGTCTTAGAGGTTGGGGGGACCATTAGTCCCCAAACAGGAAATCATGATCACATGAGTGCTCACCAGAGAACAGAACAAGTGTCAGGCCCAGGCTATGCTTCAGGCCTGGTAGTCAGGGGCCTCTCTGAGACCTAATGACCAGGTGATGTCAGGGACAGAGCAAGCCAGACACAGGGACAGCTGGAGCGCAGGTCCCAGCCAGGAACAAGCTGGGAAGGTCAGAAGAATCTGGGAGGAAACTTCAGTGAGGATGGGAGGAGCATGAGGCCAGGGGATGGGGACAGAGACAGAGAGGGGAGACAGAGAGGGGAGAGAGAGAGCGGGGAGAGAGAGAGAGGGGAGAGAGGGAGCGATATAGGTATGGAGAGAGAGAGAGGGAGAGAGAAGGGGTGGGGAGAGGCAGGCTGGCTCAGGAAGGTCGGGTGGCACAGCCAAGAGTCTAAGGCAGGACCAGGTCGACCCCTAGCTCTGGGGCTGGTGGATGATGGAGGCGGACAGGGGTGGGATGGAGACGCCTGCGGGGGCCATGTGGGACCCTAGTGTGGGGAGGGGTGAAGGTGACCTGGGTCGGGCACTAGCAGGACATACAGAGAAGGGAATTTGGGGTTGGTTTTGGAGGAAGGGCTGAGCCTTGCTGGTTGGATTGTGCTGGGGGCGCTGGGGTCAGGAAGGATGGGCAGGAGCCAAGCGTGCCTCCTGGGCTTTGGCTGAAGCTGCAGGCAGGGGAGACATTTCCTGGGGTGGAAAATTCTGGGGACCAGCAGCGGGGAGTGAGTCAGGTGGAGACGTCTGTGCCCCCGGCCTCTTAGGGGATAAGGGGACCCTTGCTGGTGCCCTGACGTGGTATTTCCAGGTGCCACTGAGCCAGCCCTGTACCACAGGGCTCCCTGAGTCCCATGACCAGGACCAGCCTCTGCCCAGAGCAGGTGGGAGGAGAGAGGTCAGACCAGCCTCCCCACCCCGATACAGAAGCTCCAACTCCTCAGTCTCACAGCAGGGCAAAGGAGTTCCCTCCTGCCTGCGTTCGGAGAAGAGCTGCGATACCTCGGTTTGGCTGAGCGCTTACCATGTGCCGGGCCCTTTGCTGAGCGATCTTAAAATTCTCTCATTTCATCTTCATGGCACCCGATGAGGCGATACTATTTCCTTGTGTTGCAAATGAGAAAACTGAGGCAGCAAGGTCCTGAAGCTCCTGCCAGGTCATAAGGGCAGGAAACTCTCCGCCGTCCTGATATTCAACCCCCACCCCAGTCTCCAGCCAAAAGGCAGGAGCACATCTTGAGAACAATTGTAGGAGGGGTACCAGTGCCCAGAAAGGTGGTACCGGTGCCCAGACAGGTGGACGCTGCTGGCAGGAGGACCGGCCAGGGCACACAGCCTTCTCTTGGCCAGCTGTGTGCACGGGGTCAGTGTCCGCCCCTGCCCTGGCTCAGCAGCTCTGCTGACACCTGACTGTCTCTCCACGAGGCCAGGGTGGCGCTGGACACTAATCTGGGGCACACCTGTGCTGAATCGCCAACCCTGGAAGAGTTCTGCCTGCAGGAAATGGAGGGGGCAGGGAGACCTGGGTCAGCTCCAGCTGGCCAGGCCAGGTCAGGTCCCTTCTTGGCAGAAGGTGCCTCCTTCCCCCCTGCACATACTGCCTGTCACTATGGCAGGAGGGCATGGGCTCCCTGCAGCCCAGTTCTTTCTGTCCTCGGACTTTAACTGTTTTTGCACTGAAGCCAGCTCCTGGCACCTGTCTGCAGCCATCCTGGACCTGCCCCACTCGGACATCACTGCCAATGGGCTGAGCTCTGTGGTACCAATACCCATCTTGGGGCCACCTATGTGCCCCAGGACCAGGGTCAGCCTCACGCTGCCCCCCAGGACTAGGCCCATCTGCTAGCACCCCCCAGAGCACTGTTTACCCTATAGCCTGCCAAGCTGAGCCTGGCTTGGTGATTTCACTGGGGGACCACAGGGACTCTGGGCACAGGGCAGCCTCTTATGTGCAGGCCTCTGCACACCTCCTCCAATAACCTGACTCCATCCACCCCACCCTAAAACACTCTCTCCCTTTCTCACAGCCCTGGAGCCCAAAGCATCCTAGAAAATTCTGGTGACACCAGGTTTCAGGCAGAGCGCTCTGAACACAGACTTTGGTCTCAGCCCTGTCCCCAAAACCAACAACAAATGACAAGAGTACAAGTGGCTCTCAGTCCCTGGTGGTGGGCCTCACTCCTGGGGGCTTTAGGTAGGCTGTGGAGGGGTTGACTCAGATTGCTGCAGGGGCTCAGAGAACACCCTGGATCTGCTGGCACAGGCAGGGCAGCGCCGCCCGTCCACCAGACAGCTAGATCCCGCCAGGGACTCCTGGTAGCCACAGGTCACCACTCTATTCTTTGGCTCCAAGCCAAGCCCCAGAGGGAGTCAGTGCTACTCCCGGGAGGCAGAGCCCCAGCAGGGCGCCCCTTGAAACATGGGAACATTTTTCAAATTCCTAGCAGGTTAGTGGCTTCTCTGCCATGGCCCACTGCCCTCGGAGGCTCCTGGTACTGGGGGTGGCCCTGGAGATGGGGACACGGGGCAAGCAGACAGAGGCACAACCGGCACATCGGGAAGACAATCTTTCTGGAGAAGGATGTTGGGAAAGGGGACAGGGGAGGAAGAGGACAGGATTCAAGCACCAACTTCCTGCATCCAGGGCCCTCCCTCCACAGCACCCCAGGGGCACAAAGGACTGACTCACACAGGAACATGAGTCAGGTGACACAATTATCTGCGATGACAGAGCTGGAACGGAGCAAAACACCCAACTTAAACAATGTCACCAACAATAGGGAATTTCCCAAAGGGGGCAGTTGGAGCGATCTGACAGGAGGACAGGGGAGACCCCCTGCCCCCTCCTTAGGAAACAGCAGGGAAGGGGCCACCTGAGGAGGCAGCCAGGTAGGACCTGTGTGGCCCCACGTGGGCAGGGGCCATGTGGCTCCCCAGGCCGGCGGGCAGCCTGTGTAACACTGAAAAGAAGGGAATGGCTTGTCCCAGCTCCCACTGGGGAGAAAATGCTGGTGGTTATTCCTGTAGGCTTGTGATTTTAAGTGATAGTATCTCCAGTGTGTTGCCACCTGCGTGCAGGTCTGGACTCAGATGAGCCATGTGTCACAGGGACAGTCAGACAGTGAGGCCCGGGTCTTCCTGCAAATAGGGCGTGAGGTTCTCCTTCAAGGCAACCCCGAGATCAACAGGGCCCCCCGCCCCCAGCCCCAAAGGCCATTTAACCAGTGACTGCCAATAGCAACAGCGGCTGCTGCCTGTGTATTTCTGATCTCTAAGCCTGGACTGCTTCTCTCCAGCAGGGAACCCCGCACACCCCAAAGCTGGTGTTAACCCTCCCCCTGACCCCTTACTGACTCCACAAGTTTCCGTCGTCTCTCAGCCTCGGCGTTCCCACCCCGGAAAGGGAAATGGCCCTAACCAGGCCCACCCACAGGGCTGTTTTGAGGACATATATTCCGCGGGAAGGGCCAGCTCAGTGCTGAATACGTGGCCAGCCCTCTGTGACCAGCTGCTGGTGTGGATTCTGTTCTTGTAGTCACTGGCCGGACTAGACCCTTTGGAGCCATGGGGAGCCCCCAGGGAGCTCCTGTGCCTCTAGGTCCTGACCCTCCTCATGTTGTCCTGGGGGTAGGATCTGCTTCTTTTCTGGGATCTGATACTTTCTACAGTGGTGCTGCACCCTTTTAGGACCTGTGTCCTTACTGTCTTTAATAAGGCAACGGGGTCCAGAGAAGTTTGGCGATTTGCCCAGGGTCACCCAGGGAAGTAGCCACAGGGTCAGAGCTTTCAGTTGGAATGAGATGGGGTGGGAGAAGGGAAAATCAGAAGAAAGACCTGGTGGTAGGAACATGGCCCAGGCATCCTCCATCCTCAGGAAGAGTGTTCCAGTGTGCCTTGGGAGGGACCTGATCCTGGGAGAAAGTCCTGCCTGGGGAGAAAGACAGCACAAAGAGCGGCTAATGAGCTTGAGTCCCAGCAGGCACACAGGGATCCGACCTGAGCTTAGAAGACCCCCATGCCTGGCTTAATGCTCTGCTGTCCCACCTTCAAATTCTTACTAATTTTTAGGCCAGGCACAGTGGCTCACGCCTGTAATCCCAGCACTTTGGGAGTCCAAGGCGGGCGGATCACCTGAGGTCAGGAATTTGAGACCAGCCTGGCCATCATGGTGAAACACTGTCTCTATTAAAAACACAAAAATTAGCAGGGCATGGTGGCAGGCACCTGTAATCCCAGCTACTCAGGAGGCTGAGGCAGGAGAATCACTTGAACCCAGGAGGCAGAGGCTGCAGTGAGCCGAGATCGCACCACTGCACTCCAACCTGGGTGACAAGAGCGAAACTCCGTCTCAAAAAAAAAAAAAAAAAACTTATGAATTTTTAAGAAAAGATGCATATTTTCATTTTGCAATGGGCCCTGAAAATTAAGTAATCAGTCCTGGGCTTTGGAGAAAAAAAAAAAAATAGAAAGAAAAGTAAAGAAAAGGAGTCCAAATCCAGCCCCAGCATCTTGTTGCATAACATTGGACAAATGACTTAATATCTCTGCCTCATTTCCTTATCTGCAAAATAGGGATGAAGATGGCGTGTAGCACGTGCTCTGTGCAAGGTATTGTCATGGTCACGCCAGTGGGCAAAGGCTGTTGTCCCTCTGTGTGTTTGTGGATTAAAGCAGGAGAGCTTCCCCACCTTGCCCCCCAGGCCCAAGGGAGGAGGAACAGGGCAGCCAGAACGGCCTCTTTCCCCTCCTTACTCTGCCTCCATCGCTCTCTTCCCAGGCCCTGCACGTGGAGGGGACCAGTCTTGGATGCCCTTAGTGGTGTGTCCTGGTCTGGCCCCACTGTATTATTCTCGGTAAGAAATGGCGGCCCTTGTTCCTGCCCAGTGGTAAAAGGAAAGAAGAGAAGTGGCCATATTAAATAATAGGAAAGGACAGACCTGGGTACAGGAGAAGGAGGCATGGCAGATGGGCCACAGGTGTTTGGCTTGAGCAAGACAGGGGAGGGGGTGACACTCTTGAGCTGGGGAGTGCAGGAGGAGAGGCTTTTAGCGAAGGGTACTGAGATCAGCCTTAGAGGCTTGGGTATCTGAGGGACCCCAGTGGACAGGTCAATACACTTGAAGAGATGGTTCTGAGCTCAGGAGACAGGCAAGGACAGCACACTTCTCTTTGGAAGTAAACGGCACAAGGCTATTCTCAAAACCATGGCAGGGGCCCTGGCAGTGGAGTTGGGAAAAGGGAGCAGGGAACGCTCCTCCATGGAAACTGACATTTATGAGGAAGAGGAGTCAATGGCAAAGGGTTGGAGGAGCCACCAAAGGACGGAGGAGAACCAGGAGGGCGGCCACAGAGGCTGAAGACCAGCAAGAGGGTGGCAGGAAGGAGGAAGGAAGTGATTCTCAGAAGGGGCAGAGGTAAAGCCAAGAAGGCAGACAGATGCAAGCTGAATGGAGAAGCAGCAGTGGCCCTGACAGCAGCAGTGGTGGGAAGGACAGAGTCTCCACCCCAGATGCTGTAGGGTGGGCACAGGGAGGGGCATTGTGGGCAGGTGGATGAGAGCAGTGGCGGGGCTCACCTTGCTGGAGCGTTTGCAGGTGGATGAGAGCAGTGGCGGCTCACCTTGCTGGAGGGTTTGCAGGTGGATGGGGCAGTGGCGGGGCTCACCTTGCTGGAGTGTTTGCAGGTGGATGGGGCAGTGGCAGGGCTCATCTTGCTGGAGGGTTTGCAGGTAGATGAGGGCAGTGACAGGCTCGCCTTGCTGGAGGGCTTGCTTGAGTTAATGTTTACAATGGAAAGGAACCCAGCACTTAAATGCTAATGACAAGGAAAGAGAGGGTGTTGACACTGGAGAGGGGACAGTGACAGACAAGGGAGAGGAAAGACCAAGGCCCCCGCAGGAGAAAAGAAGTGGGGGGGTGCAGGCAGCTGACAGTGGAACAGGAGGGGAGGTCACCTGCAGAAAGTCAGGTAGCGGGAGAACAGAGAAGGTGTGGATGGGACGATCCCCAGGGAGACAGGGAGGAGGATCCAGCGGGCCAGGTGACAATAGAGAAGGTGTGTTTATAGGGCAGTGATCCTCAAGGGGGGAATTTTTCCCCACAGCTCTCAGAGGCAGGAGTGGGAAGGGCCAATATTCACTAAGCACCTGTTGCCTGTGAGGAGTCCCGGACAGTGACCTGTGACTCCTTGGATGGTTGAGTCCTGGCGTCTGTGTGTTTCCTGGGGCTGCCATAATAAACCACGCAGCTTCAATAGCAGAAATGCCTCCTCTCCCAGTTCTGGAGGCCAGGACTCTGAAGTCAGGGTGTGGGCAGGGCTGTGCGCCCTCTGAAGGCTCCAGGGGAGGATCCATCCTGGCCTCTTCCAGCTCCTGAGACCCTGGGCATTCCTTGGCTGGGACAGCATTGCTACAATCTCTGCCTCTGCCCTCCCATGCCTTCTTCCCGGCGTGTGTCTGCACGTCTCTATCTTTCGTATCCACATCTCCCCTTCTCAGAAGAACCCCTGTGATTGGATGTAAAGCCCACACCAGTCCAGTCTGACCTGATCTTAGCTAATTGCAAAGATCCTATTTCCTAATGAGGTCACATTCTGAGGCTTTATGTAGATGCGAATTTGGAGGGACACCCCAGTGCGACAGCTAAGCTGGACAAGGAGGCGTGTGAAGACGAGAGGGTGAGAGGGAGACGTTTCCGGGCGCAACAGCTGAGCTGTCCTAATTAGGCCCAGGACCGATGTCCTCTGTGGGAGGAGGGAGCAGAAATGAGAGAAAAAGGAAAAAGGGTGGCAGGGAGCAGGCAGCACAGGTTGGGACAAGGTCTGGGGACTACTGGAGAAGGACAGATAGGGAGGGGAGTGAAGGCATGGGAAGTCAGGGAGGGAGAAGGATGCCAGAGCCTTGGGTCATCGCTCGGGGGCTGGAGTCAGCCAGGGCATGAGCGTGGCTTTTCCTGGGGGAAGGGAGTCCAGGAGGAGGTGCGGGCCAGAGGCTTGGGGTCACAAAAGAGAAGATCAGCTTCGTTTTCCCATGAAGATGGCAGAGGGCTGGCCTGGGAACTGTGGCTGGAGCTCAGAGGGTGGAAGAGACGTCCAGACCCGCAGCGGGAGAGTGAGCAACACTCCAGCTGAGGAAGGGCCAGAAGGTCTGTCGTGGAGGAAGGGGCGGAGCTTGGCCTCTGTGGTCAGGAGCATGGCACTCAGACCCGTGCGGAAGCCATCGAGGGGCAATGTCGGTCACGCCCAGGGAAGAACTTTTGAGTAGGGGCGGTTTCTGGAATGAAATGGGACGTGAGGCAAGGTGGGCTGGGAAACACTGGTACCATTGCAGAGGCAGCCTGAGCGTGGCCAGGGTCTGGCTGGATGGTCTGCAACCAGCCAGCCCTGAGCAGATGCTTCCCGCAGGGGACGCCCTCGCAGACTCCCGGAGAAGCGGCTCTCCCTGCTTGCCCCTCACGGCAGCCAGGAAATGCATTTACTCCGCCTCCAGGAGATGGGAGAGAAAATGGATGATGCGGAGGGTTGAAAGAGGTGAAAACTCCCTGGAGAAGGGGAAAATTTGCAGAGACCGAGGACATTTTTGACATGTGCAGGTTGAATTCTATAGAAGGGGTATGAAAAGCGGAAGGCATTTTAGAAATCGTGTGGATAGAGCCCAGAGCCATCAAGAGTTAGGCTGGACAGACACCCCCTTCCAGTCCTTTTCTCTCTGCCTTGCCCGTTTCTAGCTCCTCCTCCTCCTACCCTACCAATTGACATGCCCAGGTTTCCACACCTTAGACCCTTCCTGGGCTTCTCCATGACTCAGGAGGTCTCTCCCTGAGAGGAATGGTGTCACCCGAGGTCCCAGACAACGAGGCCATGAGCCCTGGCATCTTCCTCCATAGAGAGTGACATGGGGCCAGGACTGGTTGCTCACACCTGTAATCCCAGCACTTTGGGAGACTGAAGCAGGTGGATCATCTGAGGTCAGAAGTTCAAGACCAGCTTGGCCAACATGGTGAAACGCTGTCTCTACTAAAAATACAAAAATTTGCCAGGTGTGGTGGCATGCGCCTATAATCCTAGTGAGTTGGGAGGCTGAGGCAGGAGAATCGCTTGAACCTGGGAGGTGAAGGTTGCAGTAAGCCAAGATCATGCCACTGCACTTCAGCCTGGGTAACAGAGCAAGGCTCTGTCTCAAATCAAAAAAGAGAGAGTGACATGGGCATCGTGGCTCAGGGTTACAGCGTTTCAGGACTGGACAGACCTTGGAGATCATCCATCCCAACACCATCAGCTTGAAGGGGAGGCACTGAAGGCCCTAAAGGTTCAGCGACCCGCCAAAGAGTATGACGCCCCAACCAAGGCTGAGAGATGGCACAGGGCCCAGGGCCAGCGAGGTCTGCATCTGGTGTGATGCCCCTTTGCCCCCACCCCAAGTGGGTGGGCTTCAGTGCAATTCTGCCACTCACTGCTCAGAGTCAGCCTCAGACTCCAAGGTGCAGGGCAAAGTCCCCCACAAGACCACCCTCACTTCCAAGCCAGCTCCTAGTCTCAGGACCCACCTTCTGACCAGCCAGCTGCAAATTCTGGGGTTCCTATGACTCCCTCAGGTTCATTCATTGCTAGAGCATCTCACAGAACTCAAGAAAGTGGCATACAAACGATTCCAGTTTTGTTATAAAGGATCCAGGGAGGGCGAGGTCTGAGCGGGAGCACGGAACTTCTATGCCCTCACCCCATCACTCTCCGGGCACACCCACGTGTTCGCCAAGCAGGAAGCTCCACCGCACTTAGGGGCCCAGAGCTTTCTCCATCAGGATTTTATGTAGGAATGATTGATGACATTACTGGACACCTGATTGAACTCGATCTCCAGCCCCCTCCCCTCTCCTGAGGCTAAGCCAGTCTGAAGTCCCAGCCCTCTAACCACAAAGTTGGCGTCTCTGGGCTCAGCCCCCATTCTGAAGCTATCTTATCTGGGGGCCACCAAGAGTCACCTCATAACTTTCTAAAGACCGTCCTGGCATGCAGGAAATTCCAAGCATTTCTGGAGCTCTGCACTGGGACCCCAGCCCAGTAACAGCCCCCCTGCAAGTCAAATCACAGAACACAGAAACTTAGCCGAACAAGTCCAACCCAATTCCACATAATACCCCCTAAGAAAAGGAAGAGTCCCGACAAACACAGAGAGCACACCTGGATGAGACAGGCGGGTGGAGCACTGACTTTGGCAGGTAAATCAGAAGCTGAAGAAAACAAGGTGAGAAGGTGCCTGGACCATGAAGATGAGGACACTTCCCTTCAAGGGGCTTAAATGTCCTCAAGGGGAATATGCCAAGAAGTCCAGGCTCCCACATCAGCTGGGGATGGAGGCCAGGCCAAACGGGAAACTCGCTCACTTCACTCAAGGTTGTTTCTGCCCTGGGAGAACAGGCAGCTATAACCAGGGTCTTTTCCCAGTGGAATCAAAGGAAGGAGGGCAGGGCAATGCCCAGAGAAGGCTGAGAGGGACAGGAAGGCTGGAGCAGACAGTCTCACCTGCCTGGTCCAGTTGAGCAGCCCTCTGGGAAAAGTCAGCTCTGGTCTAAGTCTGTTACAGCGGGAACGGATTTACACAGTGTTTGTATAAATTTAAATTCCTGCTGCCTAAGCAGGCTGGCTGCTGTGCCATGAGCCCTCTTGACTTGAGCTCTGTGGGGGCCCCCTCCCCAAGCCAGTTCTGAGCCACCTGTCCAAAGTCACCTGGAGCTGGTGGTGAACACGACCTGCCCGGAGTTGGCAGCCTTGCCTAGGCGCAGGCTCTCAGGAAGCAGTTTATAAGCTTACCTGCAAAATCCCAGCCCACTAAATCTCCGGAATGGGAGAGGATTCACCTAATGGAATTAGAAAGTATAAAATAGCAGTGATCTTGAAAGGCATTCGGAAACTAAGCCCTTTCTGGAAATTGGAAAGTCGCTAACATCAGCCTGGGAGACCCTGGAAATTACAGACCCGTGTGCCCAGAGGTAATAAGGTCAAACTGCTACACGTATCTAAAAGGAAATCGGACTCTAACTCACCAGAGTGCTCTAAAAAGTTAATAGAGTGGCAGTCATTCTGGCAGCCCAGTGGACATAATTTACCTGCGTTTTCAAAAAGCTTTTGATGAGGTCCTTCATGAGAGACTATTAGGGAAAGGAAAAAGCAAGAGCGAGGACAGTGTCAGCTGCTGCCAGTGAAACCCTCGTTAAGCGGGAGGCTGTGGGAGCCCCAGAGACCAGCTGCTCCCCACGACCGCCTGAAGACAGTTAATAATTGTGGCCCCCCAGGGCCGGCTTTGGGGAGGACACGGCATCACATTTAAAAACTTAGGAGCAAGATCATGAAGGCTGGTTTCGTTTCCAGCATTCCTCCAGGCTGAGAGGGTTTTGTTCTTTGGAACTGTTTGTGTTCTGCTTTTTGTCCTTTGGATCAGGGGGCTGGACCGCATCTGCCCAGCTCACCCTGTGGTCACTGCTGAGCGTGGCATCCGGCAGGGGAGGTGGTGGAAATCTGCCTGGAACGGAGGCTGCGTGGGCTGCTTTCTGGAGTCATTTGATGTAGTTTTTATGATTGCCACACATCTGCGCTCCCCCCTCCTCTCACACTGAGGGTCTCCAAGGGCAATGGTGGCAGCCAGACCAGTAACACTGGACGCTTCCCCATGGTCCCACCCAGCTCACCCCACAGAAACTTACAGGGGAACAGAACTTTCCGGGGGGCCAGGAGCCAAGGAGAAGGTATAGAACCTGGGGAAGTCGAGCCTCAGTTTGTGGAGCACACCCCCTCTGGCAGTACACACAGGACCCACCAACCACAGAGGCTGTACCCCGGGCCCATCCTTGCTAAGGACCCAGGGAGGAAAACAGAAACAGAACCAGGTGAGTGAAGTGGGGAAGCTATAAGGAGAATCTGCTCTTGCTAGAATTAAGCTCCAGACCGTAGCGTATGGATGAGTCTCCTGGGGCTGCTGTAACAGGTGATCATGAACCGGGTGACGTGAGACAACAGAAATGGATTCTCACTGTTCTGGAGCCCAGAAGTCTAAAATCAAGATGTCAGCAGGAGCTGGGTGTGTGACTTCTGCCTGTAATCCTACCAACTTGGGAGGCTGAGGTAGGAGGATCACTTGAGCCCAGGAGTTTGAGGACAGCCTGGACAACATAGTGAGACCCCATCTTTAAAAAAACAAGACCAGGCTTGGTGGCTCATACCTGTAATCCCAGCACTCTGGGAGGCCGAGGCACGTGGATCACCTGAGTTCAGGAGTTTGAGACCAGCCTGGCCAACACGGTAAAACCCTGTCTCTACTAAAAATACAAAAATTAGCTGGGTGTGGTGGCAGGTGCCTGTAATCCCAGCTACTTGGGAAGCTGAGGGATGAGAATCACTTGAACCCGGGAGGTGGAAGCTGCAGTGAGCTGAAACTGCACCACCGCACTCCAGCCTGGACGACAAGAACAAAACTCCATCTAAAAAAAAAAAAAAGATGCCAGCAGGGCCGTGCTCCAGCCAAAGCTCTAGGGAAGGATCCTTCCTGCCTTTTCCAGCTTCTGGGGGCCCCAAGCATTCCTTGACTCTCCAATCTCTGCCTCTGGCTCCACGAGCCCTTCTTCCTTGTGTGTCTCAAACCTCCCTCCTTTCTCTTATAAAGGTAACTGCCATTCGATTTAGGGCCAACCCTAAATCTAGCATGATCTCATTTTATTATCCTTAATTTAGTCATATCTGCAAAGACCCTTCTTCCAAATAAGGTCACATTCCAGGCTCTGGGGGTTAGGACTGGACATACCTTTTTGGGGACATAGTTCTGCCCCTTGTAAGGCGCCTTCATCCAGGCATTCCCTGGCTCCCGCTGTGTGTCAGGCACCGTTCTAGGCAGCAACAGGCAGAGTCCTAGCTCTCATGGAGCCCGGGCTCAGGGCAGAGGGGGTGTGGTGGCATTTGGTCTGCCTTCCAGGTGGATACGACCTGGCCACCCTAGAGAGCAGGTGGGGGTGGCTCACCATGAGCTGGGGCAGCCTCTGCCTTCCTGCCTCCTCTCCAATGGCCACTCCCGGGACTTCTGCCATGAGCAGCCCGGGACTCTCCCAGCCAGGCTCCAGGGCCCTGCCACGACTGGTAAAAACATGACCGGGGCAGAAGGCCTCTGTGTCCGCAGAAACTCCACGTGCCTTCCAGCATTTCAAACAAATCACATCAATTTCAAGTGCTGCAGAATTTACAAAGTGCCTGTAAAATACCAGCGTTCACTTGGATTGCTCCTTAAAAGTGCTGGCCACTTTCCCAATGCTGCGCCGGGAGAGAGGAAAGAGCAGAAATCACGAAAAGTTTGCCCTTGCTGTGTTCTCCCTCTAGCCTGAATGTTTCCAGAGCCAGAGCCCTCCAAAGGTTGGGGGAGGCAGCATAGCCGGTGGGGGGGTGACCCCAGCATCCACTTGGGTCAGGGTGGCTTCGCAGGGCCCTGGGAACCCTGGAGGGGCACGCTAGGCCTGGGCAAGTTACCCTGCCTGAGCTGAAGGCCCAGAGCCTGCTCAGCGAAGTCGCCTCTACCCAGAGGGACCAAGAGCAAGTTCTCCCAGGGGAGGCAGCTGAGGCCTTACCAGCTCCAGCCTCACCTGCAGAGCTCATCAGACTGCCAACAGCTTTGGCAGCCAGGTCACCTGAAACAAGGAGAAGGCAACCAGAGCTGGCACTTTGCAGCCGAGAAGCAGGAAGGAGCCTCGTCCTATTGGGGCTGCCACAGTGCTCTTAGGTGAAGGCACGTGGGTTGGTTTCCATCCATCAGGGAGCAACTGATTGTATTGGACCAGTCTTGGCCTGGCCGTCCTTGTGACCCACGTAGGGATAGATTCCAGCCTTGTGGGGCACACGGGGTAGCCACAGATCTGCAACTCTGCTCCTGCCCCGTGGGCCCATCCACAGCTGGCACCGTGAGCCTGCACAAAGGACCCACAGCCCTTCCCACCAGCCTGGGCCTCCCTCTCCCCACCTCTCGAGACTGGAACAGGATTAAAGGGTCCTGCCCTCTGAGCAGACAGTGGCACTGACTTAATTTAGAATCCTAATCAATTTGCCCCTGTGTGATCAATGGAGATCTGCCCACTGATTGTTCTTCAAAGGAAAACGACTGAGGTGGAATTTATAGAGAAATGTGCAAGTCCTGGCAGGGAAACCAAGGTGAGAGGCCATGTCCCCTCAGTGGGATCTGCTTGTGCCCGGTCATGGCTGGCTCCCAGGCCAGTCCTGGCCACCCCCTTCCTGCCCACAGCCCCTGTCCAGAGCCCTCGTGGCTGCAGGACTTGTCCCCAGCTGCAGAGGTCCGGGCTTGTGGGAGCCTCCATGGAGAAGCTGAGGCTCAGAACTGCTGCATCTCGGGCTTGGCCTGGCCGCCGCTTAGCCACATTATGTGTACTGAGCTATGACCATGAGAGGCTTTTCCAGAGCAGCGGTTTTGGTTTAGCATACAGCCCAGGCAGAGAAAGGGAATCTCAGAGTTACTCAAATAACTCAAAAGAATCTCAAAAGTAATCTCAAACCTCAAAAGGAATCTCAGAGGAACTCAAAGCAAAGTTTTGGAGTGTGTGAAGGAGCTCGATGCCCGGCAATCTGCATTAATATTTCAGGTGTTCATATGCCTCCCCGCTCCACAAGCCCCAGTAAAAGCAAACCCACAATTCCGCTGGGCGCGCTGTGGACACCTGAAGTCCGCCCCTCCCCTCTTCAGGTTCCATCAGAAGCTGCCAAGAAACAGGAGGGCAAGCCGTTTTGCGGGCCTCTTGCGTGAACAGGGGAAGCGTGGGGTGCACCGCCTTCATCCTGGCTTCACACCAAGGTCCCCTTGGCGACCAGCGCGGGATGGGATGGGGAGGGTCCTGCTACCTACCCGCCTGTGTGCAAGCTCCTGCTCAGACAGTGGCCCCCGCTCCAGCAGCCTCCACGTCACCTGGGACCTTGTGAGAAATGCACCCCCACCACCCCAGACCTGCCGCATCATTGAATCTGCACTGTGAAGAGCCCTCCGGGGAATCCTGTGCAGGGGAGAGAGAGAGCCGCACAGGCCTGGGAGGCTCCTGGGGGACTCTGGCAGCGCAGCACCTCCACCTGCATCCTCTCCCTCCGGGTCCTTCCAAGGAGCTCCATGCCCCTTAGGACACCACTTTCTGCAAGAGAAAACCAGGTCTTGGGTCTTGGGAGAGAAAAAGGAAAGGAAAGAGAGACACAGAGAGAGAGAGAGAGAGACCCTGTGCCTGTGGTTTCGGGGTGCTCATGCCCCCTCCTTCGTTTACTCACACACATTTATTGAGTGTTTGCTCTGTGCCAGGCCCTGTCCTGGGCTCTGGAGACACATCAGTGTCTGCATCAGGAGACAAAGCAGATAAAAATCTCTTGTAGCGCTTACGTTGCAATGGGGGAGATGGGCAATTGGGGGAACAATTGAATATGTTTGCAGGGGGCTCGAGGAGCTAACGCTGTGGGGTGGGAACTGGAGGGGTGTAGGGGTGTGGAGGCTTTGACTTTAATTGAGGTGAGAAAAAGGATCTGGGCAAAGATCAAAGGGAAGTAAGGAACAGCTAGAGTGGGGAGAGGCTGGAGTCCTGGAGTGGAAGGGAGGGAGGGAGACACATGGATGGTGGGGGAGAGGCCGGAGCTGGTGCAAAGGCCCTGGGTGGAGTGTGCCGGCAGGTGCCAGGGCCAGTGAGGAGGCCAGTGTGGGGCCCATGGAGAATGCGGGAGGGTGGCGGAGTCTGGCAGTTGGCCAGAGCTGGTGGGCGTCAGAGCTGGGAAAGGACTTTGGAGTTGTTCTGTGATGTGGACTGAAAATCCCTTCCCGCATGCCGTTTTCTCACACTCTACAGCGTCTTCCTTGGCCATTTTCCTATTCCCAGGGGAGGGGCATCGGGTTCCCGTCAGGACCCAAGGCCCGGCAAGCTGGCTGCAGCTTGGCTGTGTCCTCAGCCTCAGGCCAGCATGGCCACACCTCTCTGGGTCACCCCTGGGGCTCTGGCTTTGGCCTTCGCCATTGGTGCTGCCCTCAGAGTCACGGGCGTGGGCCTGGCCCCAGCAACTGACCTATCACTTGTGGAGGTGCCAGCGGGCATCTCTGCTCTATTGGTGCCCACTGTGGGCACCTCATGGCTCTTCCTGAGGCCCTTCTCAGGCCACGTCTTTCTTCTTAGGGGTCCTAGCTCCAAGGTGCAGGGGAAAGAGCAGGACCCCATCTGGGTTCCACTCAGGGCCCAGAACGTGTAGGGCAGAGGCCACAACCAGTGCTGGATCCACTGTGGCAGGGAGCAGGTAGCCAGCACGTGGGGCTGCTTTATGGGAAGGGGCCCTGGGGGAAGCTGAGCCTCAGCAGGGCCGGGGTCCCCCACAACTGACTCTAGCCAGTGGGGAGGGGTGTGAGGGTCTGTGCAAGGCAGGCTCCCATTCTGCCTCCCCCTGTACCTCCTTATTTGATGATTAAACCCGGTGGCCGATGGGCTGGGCCAGGTCCAAGGGTACTCAGTAAGTGCTGGTTACACACACAGGACGTGCAGACAGCGCTCCACCTGTCCAGAGGGCTCCACACACCGGGGGTCTCCCATGGTCCTCACTCCACCCAGGGAAAGTCAGCGGCCAGGAAGGGGCTCGGCGTCTGGCTGCCTGGCCCGCCTGACTGGACTCACATCCCGCTGCACTCACAGTTGACATTTCTGAGCGTCAGTTTCCTCATCTGCAAAACAGGGATGATGCTCAGACGGGCCTCTTCGGGGAGGAGTGCGAGAGGGAAAATGCTGCCCAGTGCTGAGAACGGTGCCTGCTGCAGAGCCCCCGTGGCTACTGTGACCCTGAGGTGCGGGGGCACCTAAACACCTAGGCCACACCGAGCCTGTCCCTGCGTCTCCCAGCTCTTGGGGAACACAGGATTGCCAGGCTCAGCAAAGGGAGCCGGGTCTACTGACCAGCCCGTCCCTGCTCTCAGCCCTCTCCCAGCTGCTTCTGCATCAGCTGAGTACCCTTCCCTTCCATGCGGTCTCAGGCAACACCGTCTCACCCAGGCCCCCAAAGTCCTGCCTGCTCCCTTCCCTCAGGCCTTGCCTCCCAGAC